CATCTTGATTTGATGGTATCCGGAGTATGCGTCGAGGAAGCACAATGAATTGTGCCCTGCGGTAGCATCGATGATTTGGTCGATGCGGGGGAGGGGGAAAGGATCCTTTGGACAGGCCTTGTTAAGGTCTTTGAAATCGACACAAAGGCGCCAGAATTTGTCCTTTTTTGGTACCATTACCAGGTTTGCTAGCCAGTCCGGATGTTTTATATCTCTGATGAATCCGGCTTCTAAGAGTTTGGCTAGCTCCTCTCCCATTGCCTGTCTTTTGGGTTCGGAAAATCGCCGAAGAGCCTGTTTGACTGGCTTGAATCCTTTTAGGATATTTAGGCTGTGTTCTGCCAGCCTGCGTGGGATTCCTGGCATATGTGAAGGGTGCCAGGCAAAAATGTCCCAATTTTCCCGAAGGAATTCTCGTAGTGCGGCTTCTACATCAGGGTTTAATTGTGCCCCAATGGAGGCCGTCTTTGTGGGGTCCGTTGGATGGACCTGGAATTTGACTATTTTGTCTGCTGGTTTAAAAGAGGTGGACTTAGATCTCTTATTGAGTATCACATCGTCCCTATCCACCGTGGAGCGCAGCGCAGTGAGTTCCTCTGCCGCTAAGGCTTCGGATAGTGCCTCTAGGGCTAGTGCGGCTGTCTTATTTTCAGCGCGGAGTGCTATATCTGGATCACTGACAAGAGTGATGATTCCATTGGGCCCGGGCATTTTAAGCTTCATGTACCCGTAATGGGGTATAGCTTGGAAAATTGTGAATGCCTCTCACCCTAACAAGGCGTGATATCCGCTGCCGAACGGGCCACTTGGAATGTGACCTCCTCGGACCTGTAATTGTCCGGTGAGCCGAACACTACATCTAGCGTGATTTTTCATGTGCAGCGTACTTCCCGACTAGGGATTACTCCTCTAAAGGTTGTGCTGCTTTGCTCAATGCGGCTCCAGTCAATTTCCATTTTTGGAGGGTTTCCTCGTAGATGAGGTTTAATCCGCTGCCGCCATCCATGAGTACCTTGGTAAGACAAAAGCCGTCCACTATCGGACTGAGGACCAATGCGGCTGGTGCTCGGGCTGTTCGGAATTTAGGTTCGTCGCTGGCATTGAAGGTGATAGCCGTGTCGCTCCATGGATTTGTTGTTGCTACTTGGTAGACTTCGGCGAGGCTGCGGATTGTTCGTTTCCGCATATTATTTGATGCGAAAGTCTCGAAGACTGTTAATACCGTACTGGTACTGTTGGGCTGGTTACCCGGGGCTAGAAAACCTTCGCCACTTTTGGCCACCTGCCGTAGTATCCAACATGCTCGAAGGCTATGTGTTGGAGTGGCGCCCTCTGTACTATGGATTTTACAGGGTCCGTTGAGCCATCCCTCCAGTACGGTTCCGTGCCCTTTAGGGTTTTTTTGCTTTTTGATTTTTAACCTAGGTGCTTGAGTATGACGCACCCTTTTATTTCAAACTAGGGTTGTGTTCAGGGCCGGATTGTCCCAAAACCTGGTTTCGGTTTTCCAGCCACTCTCCATCGCACAGTATTTTTGTACTATGGTCGCTAGGTCGGCGAAGCGTGTAACTTCACGACGACTTATGGCATTCATGATTCCCTTGTCCGTGCAATTGTTGCAGAAAATTGAGATTGCGCTTTCCTCACGGCAGTCCTTTATCATGTCCATAACCAGGAGGAATCTGGCCCAGTAATGATGTACTGTTTCATCGGGCTCTTGCCGTATTTGAGATAGATCGCTTATGTTTGGGTGGGCGGGCGGAATTAAATTCGGAACCCCGCCCAATCTGAGGCTCAAAGGCCGAGAAGTTTCCGAATTTGGAAGCTTGGATTGCTGGATGTTATCCAACAGATCTGGTCCGATGCCTGACTTTAGGTTCAGTACTTGATTGACGTTCGTCCCTCCGCGGGAATCTGGCATGGAGGGATCGGGAATCCGGACATAACTGGTCTTTAACATATAAGAAGAGTCGCCGCGTTGTTCCTCTACCACAACAATGTGGTGGGTAGCCTGGGGAGAGTTAATTTCTCTCAGATCGGTTTTAAGCCCAATCTGATCGTAGTCTGTAGCGACTCCCAGGGCGGCGATGCGATCCAAGAGCTCATTTACGGAGGAGAGCTCCATCGGATCTAGCTGCTCGGCGAATTCCGAGTTAACGTGAAGATCGCTTTTGATGACCTGAGAGGTCATTGTTGGAGCGGTGGCCGAACAGGCGGTCATAAGAAAACCGCCTAGCCGGATAGTTTGGCCGGTGGCCAAAGCTCCCTTGACGACGGTGCCGTCTTTAAAGATGGGAAAAGGCATCCCTCCTGATTGCGACGACACAGAGAAACTCTCAATGAAAGCACCAATGTCGGTGTCAAAACAGGCGGATCTCGGGTAGGGGGTCCCGAACTGTGCGTCTAGGCGGATGGTAACAGGAGACAAGGGGCACGATGTTTTACCCAGGTTCGGGCCCTCTTGATGGAGGTAAAACCCTACGTCCTGCTTGCTTGATATTGATGATGTGGGTATTACAAGAGTAGATCTACCACGAGATCAAGGAGGCTAAACCCTAGGAGCTAGCCTATGGTATGATTGTTGTTCGTCCTATAGACTAAAGCCATCCGGTTTATATAGACACCGGAGAGGGCTAGGGTTACACAGAGTCGGTTACAATGGTAGGAGATCTACATATCCGTATCGCCAAGCTTGCCTTCTACACCAAGGAAAGTCCCATCTGGACACGGGACGAAGTCTTCAATCTTGTATCTTCATAGTCTTGGAGTCCGGCCGATGATGATAGTTCGGCTATCCGGACACCCCCTAGTCCAGGACTCCCTCAGTCGATTCCTCTCCGAAAGACTCCTACCGCCTAGGAGTCTCCAACCTCCAAGAGTAACAAGAACGATGGGGAAAAGCTCAAGACTTGGTCAAATCACGAATTCCTTTGGTGCAAAGAAGGAGAAGGAGTGGATCTATCACTTGATTGGACAACTTCTCTCAGATGCTCTCAAATCCCTTGGGGATCTAAGATTTGGTGTGGAGGAGTGAGAGAGAGAGTGAAATGTGTTCTAGGGTTTGTTCAAAGTGAGTGGTCAGCCATCTCCCGTGGGGAAGAAGGGCTATATATAGTGTGAGCACAATTATGGCCGTTGTAGTGTAAGTGAATGGGCAGCCCGGACATCCGGGCAAGGGGCCGGACATCCGACCCGCCAAGGTTCGAGGAACAAAACCAGAACCAGAACAGAAAGCAGAGGGGCCGGACATCCGGGGGCCAAGCCCGGACATCCAGCGTATCAGGAAGGCCCGGATATCCGGCAGAAGGCCGGACATCCGTCGTGATCACAAACAGGTTACAGGACCTCAGCTGTTCTACGGGTAGTGGAGGCCAGACATCCGGGATAGGGCCCGGACATCCGGCGTGTCAGGTAGGCCCGGACATTCGGGGAAACACCCGGACATCCGTCGTGCAGCGCAGCACACAAGAGTTCTCTCGATGGCTAGGCTCGGATATCCAGCAAGAAGGCCAGATATCCGGCGTGAGGCCCGGACATCCCGCTTGAAGCCCGGACATCCGGCAGCCAAGAGACAGAAACAGAAAGTTTTAGCATGTGCATGTATGGCAATGAGGTTTGTGGCAAGAGCAAGCCTTTAACTAACCCTATCGATCCCCTCTTAATAGTGCGGGATCCTATACTCAAGAAAACAAATATGAAATCAATTTTTATGCTTCATCCTTGAGTAAAATCACTTTGTATGCTCTTGATCCACACACACTTCGATGAACCGGGGACTAACACCTGAGATTTACTTAACAACCATTGTTAGTCCCCTACATGTATATTGTCATCAACATCAAAACATGATGTAAGGGCATGATTGCTCTTTCAATAAGGTCATTAGGGGCTTTTACACACAAGGGAAGGGGATGTTTAGCCTCCCATCTAGCAAACGACAAGCAGGGGGCAAATTTCAGTTCAACCTCCATTCGAGTAGAAAGAGATAACTAAGAGAGAGACTGAATGAGATGAAGATTGAAGGGAGAAGCTTGCCATCAAGCAAAGGGATCCCATCATCAAGGTTATGACGATTAGATCAACCATCTTGTCTTCTACAAGCTGTGGTTCCCCCATCTTTGGTGAGATAGTTTCCTTCCATGTTGAGTCATGATCCCTAAGTTAGCGCATGATGTGGCACTAAGATTACTTTGTTTTTGTTGCAGTTTTAGAACATAAATGTGTGCTAATTCCCAAGAAACGACCACCACAGCAACCACAGTAGCATCTAATCTTTGCACAAGAGAGGTTGCAGGCTGAGGAGCCTGGCCAGAACCCAGTGAAAGAGAGAGGCTCAGACTTGGTAATGTTGCAACACACTTCTTCTCCAACCGGTCAGCCGCCATGGACACACAAGGGTTAGGCCACACAAGATTTAACAAAGAAGTAGCCCAAATTCTAAATTTGAACAGTTATTTGGCATAGTGCCATATTCCAACGAGGAAATCCTCATACTACTGTCTTAGACGGATATAGAAAGATGAGGTGACCAATCTCCGCTCCCCTTCCACTACAGATGACCGAGGTGGTGAAGGAGGGGAAATCAGGCAACAGGAACAAGGAAGTTGATGGGTAGCTCAGAAGGCGAGAGAGGAAAAGATAGGGGGGAGGGGGTCTTTGAGTGGTAAAAGTTGGACGATGGGTAGGTAGGTCTTACCTTGGCTTTTGTCCATGAGCTACTTTCCTAGCTTATGGCTTTTGGGACCAAAAGATACATCTTTTTTCATGTATATGCGCATCCCACCATCACCATAAATGTAGAGGATGCCAAATAGAGTCTTCAACGTGAGTGGAAGTTGTGGCTCATTGGTCATGGGTACTTCGATTTCGCGTTGGACGCATGGGGCAAGCTCTTAGGTGACCCAGACATGCTCAGTCACATTTGCTTGTGCAACTTGGCGTTCATTGACCCCGGGTCCAACGCATGCAATGCTTAGCCGGAGAACTTTGTAAAAAAGAAACTATTCTTCGACGTCCCAGTTGGGAAAAACATCATAACTAGTCTCGTGGGTGGAAGTGGGGGCATATCTTGGTGTGAGGTCCTTGCCCTTGCATGGGAGGACTTTGGGGGCGTGGTTTGGTAATACGCCAATTTGGCCACTATTTGTGGATAAAATGATTTCTTTCACCTCACAATCCCAAATAATTCGCTTAGGAGTCAGTACATAAAGATTTAATTTCATTTCTGCGATTTGTTCTCCTCTTCACAGGTTAGACACCGTCAACGACCTATGATTATGAATCCAATTGCCTTGTGGGGGCGTATGTCGCCTTGTGCGGAATCACTCTCTCTTGAAATGACCATCTATAACGTGGGCATTGCAGAGAAAGCTAGCAAAATTTACGAGAAAGTTAGAACTAAACGCTCTTATATTTCTTTTCAGAGGGAGTACTAACCGCCATCCCTGACTAACCCAAGAAGCACGCGCGATGTGATAGAACGAGTATAAATGTAAAAATAGTGAGGAATGTCGTTTTTACTAAATATTAAAAGTCTTCAACCAAAATCCTACCCCATAAATGTAATTAACACCCGTATATATCTCCCACCAGCCACCAGAATCACCCCCAAATCTCCTCCTAGAATCGCTCCATTCAAAACAGGAAGGGGACGCGAAAGGCATCCTCAAAAAGACCCACGCGCACGGGAGCAGAGGGATGGGGGCCCCGCCCCGCCGGGCCTGCTGCCTCCGCCCCGCTCGCTGACTCCGCCTTCCCCTCCTCCGCTCCGATTTTAAATTTCGAAACCCCCCTCGCCCCTCCTCCGTCCTCCTCCCCTTAAACCTCGCCTCCTCTGCCTGCCTGCCTGCCACTGGGCGGACGCAGGCACGCGCACGCGCAATCGGCCCCGCAGCTTCAACACTCGGCGCCCGGCGAGGGGGGCGCGGTGAGGCCGAGGTGGAGGGCGGGGATGGGGTGCCTGTTCGACTGCTTCCGCGCGGCCGGCGGCGAGCCGCGCGCCGCCCGCGCCCGCGCCCAGCTCGTCTCCTCCTCCGTCGTCCCCAGCCCCAAGGTATTTCTCCCTCTCTCCCGTCGCGCCCCGCGCGGAGCCCTCGTGTGCCCGTTCCCGGGCACGGATCAGCTAGCTGGGGTGTGTAAATTCCGGCCGCGATTGGTTATTTTTGTTCGTTTTCTGATTCCGGTCCGTGCTGATCAGGTTGGCGAGAGGAGGGCGCCGCCGTCCAGGAACGCGCTGTCCGCCGTGTTCCTGCGCGAAGGTCAGCATTTTTTCCCCTTCCGTTTTTGTATTTCTCCTTCTCGAGCCGTTCAATCCTCTGCTTGGTTCTGATGCTGCCATGCGCTCCTTTGGTGTTCGATTTTTGTGCCGTCGGTGAAGACGAGGGATCGCAGGCCACGAGCTCGGGGTCGGACCGGGACGCGGGGAGCAACAGGGTGGATCCGGAGCTCATGCACGAGGAGGTATGCCGATCGGTTCTCTGAATCTGGCCCCGTTCAGATCTGCTTCCTTGCTAGTCTATTCTGAGCTGCATCTTGCCACTTGAGTGCCGAATTTTGTCTGGCTAGTGACGCATGTGCATCAGTTTCAGCATTTTCAGTACACAAAGAGGGATTATGTCTTTATATGCATGATGAGCTGATGGTTGTGGCGTTAGCGCTGTCCTGATTCACACTCGCACTAACTGCACGGAATTGGAGCACTGCACTTGTGAGCTGGCTGTTGTTCATTTGTTTGCTTGCACTGATACAGGAGACCACTGTATAAAGCTACTGCAACTTCTGAATGTGTTTATGACGACAACCGATCGGTGGCTTGTTCTTTTATATCTGCGTTGCTGTTTGTAGCTAACTGTTAGTCTTGTGCATTGGTCACTCAAGTGAGGATGAGAATTTGTTGCTCATGCATGACTCATTCAAATGACACACTGTAGTGAATTCCACATGTTAATTACCCCCATATACGTTGTGAGCAACTCAGCAACAGACTGACTTTCAACTGTACCAACAGGCCAATTTCCCCCAAAATGGTGGTGCACTGTCGGAAACTCCAAATGAAATCATAAAAGTGCCTGAAAGCACGGATTCAGCTTTTCAGAGTGCAACTCATTCAGCACTGCTAAGTGCCTTGTCTGAAAACATGAATTTCATGGAAGTACCGAAGGCTGATGAATGCCAAACTCCTTCAGGGTCTCATCAGAGCTCCTATCTACCAGATGCTACAAGGTATGCAGACCTCGTGCTATCTGCTGATATACCAATGCCTTTAGTCTGTTCACTGTTTCTGAAGAGTCTGGGATTTTCTCTTCACTTTAATAAGTGGATAGATTAAATAATGTGGATGTTTTTACTTCTTGATGACAGCTCTTCTAGGAATGGTTGCGATGCATCAAAGCAGCATGATACTGAACCTGTAAGCAAGAGCATAGACTCTGACGCTGTGAATAATGAGCCTGTGGTCAACTGTGGGATCAAGTTAACCACCTTGGAGTCATGCTCTGTCACCAGTAATGATGATATCTATCTGGATGGATCCAAGTCTTCACCCTTTTCAATTCCTTTGAAAGTGAATGCTGAGATACATACTCCAGTTAACACTCAGGTATCTAACTTGGAAGAGTTGACAAACGAGAGCTGTACAAGGGCTTGCTCGCATAATTTGAACGAAGCTCTGAATTCCTCTCGGGATCTCGAGCATTGTGGAGTGTACAGAGAAGATCCCTGCCAGCCTGATATATCTGATGAGGATCTCAAGGGTGCAAAGAATGACAGTCCGGATTTGGTTGAAACTTCAATATCTGATGAATGTTCCCTGTTCCAGAACTCTGAGGGTTCTGTATCATCTTATAACAAGACAAGTGATAGCACACCTTTTGTGGAGAAATGCCAGGCCACTGATGTAACAGTTCATGCCAGAAGAAATAAGGTGATTACAACAAATAGTGGTTCAGATGTTGAATTCCCAAGCTTGTCCCAGTGGTTGAAGCCTCCAAGTTCAAGTAAGGCGATCAGAGATGAAAGCTATACAAGTGACACATTTAATTCTGCTAAGAGTTCTGATGAGGATAGGCCTATCATTGGAATGGTCGCGGCTCACTGGAAATCCGAAGAGCCAGATAATTTTACTCCTAAATGGTGGGATGGAAAAGGCATTCCCAACTCAACAAATAAGTACAAAGAAGTAAAGTCTATTTCTCATTCTCTTAATTTCTGTTACTTAATTATGTAGAAGTGGCTAACCTAGGAATAATGCATTACATGATCAGGATCAGAAGGTTAGTTGGCACGCGATGTCATTCGAGGAGAGGCTTGAAAAGGCTTTATCTGAAGAGAAGCTGCTTTCTCAAAGGTTCAGTATTTTCTTCCATTTCAAAACAAATCTCTCTTTGATCTAGCCCAACAATTTTTAAAATCTTTCGAGTGCATGATCATTCCTTCTTTCAATGGTGTAATGTGATGTTCTTGTTTGATTTTTGCAGGAAATGCTCCACTGGAAACACATCTCACTTTTCAGGTGTAGAAGGTGAGGAGAGTGATACTGCTGCATCTCACCATCTACGTGTTGCTGCTTTTACATGATGTCTTGGTGTGCGAAGAGTTATGAAGCTTCCAAGTAATTTGGCTTTTTGCTGCCACATTCCTAATGGCTTCTGCACAGTTTTGTTAACCTCTACTATCCTCCAGTATGTAGCTTCTAGAAGGGGCCGTTCTATCGACTTCTTTATATTAAAGGAGTAATGCTCCTAGTTCCAAGAGAAATCAACATTGTTGATTTCAAATATAATTGACATCAAGATTCTTAACTAGTAGTACTTCTGAATGTTATGTTCGGGTCTTTTTGTGATACTTTCTTCTATTTCGTTCCTGATATGCAGTTTTAGTTCCTGATACTAGCTGCCTTACCTTTTATTTTTTTGCGAGAAAGTTGCCTTACCTTTCGTAAGCACGATTGCCACAACAGAGAAATGATCTATTCCTATTTCGTAAGCAGCAGAGAAATTATCACTCCTTCCTGTTTACCTTGAAAAAAGATGCGAATAAATCTGATGTATTGTTGAAGACTTTTTATTTCTTATCATCCTTAAGCTATTGTAATCACTCTTTCATGGTGTCTTTGTTCAACCAGAATTTGCCTTTACATCCTTGTCTTCGACGAATTCTGTAGGTTTTGGTTTGACTGTTTCTAGTCCAATGCTGCTTTGCTAGGCCCTTCTATTAGCTTTGCATTTGGAACGCAATTCTATTGCCTCCTTGTCAGACAACCTGCAAATATCCATATCTGCTTTTGCAACTATACAAACGCGCTGATGAATATTTAAGCCAAACAGGTACTCCCTCCGTCCCACAATATAAGATAGTTTTTCAAGCTATATTAGCTTAAAAAACGATCTTATATTATGGGATGTAGGGAGTAGTTAACATGAACAAATATTTGATCTGGCTCGATGTTTCCTGCCCATATGATATCGTACGTGTATTTAAGTTTTTGGAGTTTATAGACAACAGTTTCATGCTGGAGGAAGTCCCATTCAGCCCCAATACATCCTTTTCTTTAACTGTTCAAGGCAGTGACCTAAGCAAAGATGTGTTCTTGAGTTTGATAGTTTGACATGTAAATTTTATTCTCTCGTCTCATGCTTCAAGTGAGTCAAGGACATTGAAATACAGCATCAACCTGGGAGAAATTCACCAGAGTGCTGATAGAGTCAAATTGGAGGTCAGCAGAAGATGTCATGAAAATGACACATATATCACCTTTTTTATAATCTAACATAATAGATGATACATTTTTCGTTGGTAAATGACAAAATCCACCCAATCAAATGTTTAGATTGCGCACGCAACCAAAGATCATGCGCAGTTTTGTATGACCTGTGGGCGGGGGCGGGGGCGGGGGTGATAAATCTAGGAGCGACAAAATGGATGCGCGTAGAACTGATTATTTTTGCTCACCTAACTCTGAAATTGATAAGAAATTTGGTGCGGAAAAACACTTTTACATTTCGCTGTTTGTTTCCTTGGTATATATGCTCCTGCTAGCCAATAATACTTGTACGGGCGCCAAAAAATATGAAAAATATAGACATACATGTTCTTGCCCATTTTTTGATTCAAAAGTTTATGGAAAAAACACAAATATTCAGGCCTGTGCTAAAAAAAGCTGAGCGCCAATCTTTTTTTACCAAGGAAGCATAATTGTTAATTTTTGCATGAAAATTTTCATGAA